CATATTTATTCAACCCAAACCTGGTTGGTGTATCCATATACCCAACAACACTGATCAAAAATTTTTCTCATCAGGCACAGGGGGAGGAAAGTTCTTGAAAATTGTGCTTAGCTTGATGAATGCCTGCCAACCATATTTAACATGCCATTCAATTTCTTTTATTGTATCACCATCCACTGAGATCCATTGCCCAAGGTATATGTAATGGTCTACCAAGTGTAGTTCCTCTCCAGATATATATTTTTTTCTTTCTTTGGTGAATTTATTAAACATAATAGGTTGTCCAGTTCAACCATTTCAAACGATATACATTTCCAGAAACACCTTAAGGCCTAAAACTGGTGGAGGCTTTATTGTGCATAACAATAAACATTAAAGAGATACTAGAGAGAGGATCACTTAGCTCAATAATTTTATCAGGGAAAGTCAATCCAGCCAATAATGTTCCACAGATCAACATGAACAATCAAAACTATAAGGTACAACAGATCAATAAATGCTGGTTGCTGGGATTATTAAATACGTTCCAACTCCAATTTAGTAATATATCTGGCAAAATCTAACTAGCGCATTGATTCTGTACATTTTGGCAAAAAATCCATTTATCTATTGTTTTTCAAAAGGAAGTAACTTTTTGTAACTTTGTAGCCATTATTATTAAATACTTAAAATTCACTTACATAATCTTAAAATGAAAATATGTATCATATAATGCAGGGGTTGTGAAACTGGTGGCCCACTGGCCGGATGCATCGCGCACAGGCTATCCCCACCCCAGTTCTGCGAAGGGAGAAAACGTCATAAAACATCATTTGATGGCAATGTGATGTGGCGAGTTTGACACCTGTGATATAAAGAATGATAAGTAATCAGGTGCTGGTTGATTGTTTTGTTTTAGATCAAGTACTATCTACTTCAGCTTACATGGAAAGGGACTGAATGAATTGAGCAAAAATCTGGAAAGCATCAGTGTACATACCACTGCACTATATCAATGGGGTGAGTTGGAAAAATATTTCACATTAATCATTTCCCATGCTAACTCACTTAAACAAAGAAAAATATATTGTATTAAATGGAGCATGACACAAAATTTCTAAATAATTCCTACGTCATTATTGGATTTAGTGGCAATCCTACATATGTCCAATCTTATCTTGTGCTATCTTTCCAATGTTGAAGAATCCTTTGCTAACTATCATGCTAAAAACCAGGTTAGATAAACCGAGTTAGATAATAAACCAGGTTAAATAGAGAAGGTCTAGAAAGTTGCTTTTTCCATACAAAATATTATCTGTTGAAAACAATTCAAATATATTAGCATGAAAAATATATATATAATATTTAGGCATTTGTTTAGCCTATAAATTGTTTGCCTTTAAGCAACACTTACATCAATTTTATATGAGTTTTTTTTTTAAAAATGATATAGTTACATCTTCAAATTTAAAAACTTTAACTGAAAGAAGAAATAGGGTCAAGAATGAATGTGGATTGGGTACTTTTGTTTATATAAAGAGAATTATATAAGACTAAATCAGAAAACAAATAAACAAAGGAAGACTGAATGAGTCAAGGATAACTGAGACAATTATTGGTTGGATGAAGTTCATGAAAAACAGAGACGAGAAGCTTAAAGAACAAAATGTATTAAGTAGTATATGGTTCTGGAGGCAGCAAGGATACTTTGCAAAACCAAATGATATGGAATGGTATCATGGTTAAGTAAATTAAAATTGACTAGGTTTCCTTTTTTCCTCCCATTCATGATTCTTTAATATGCTGGCTAACTATTTCTTACTCCTTTCCTACCCTTTCCATAGCATTGTTTGTTCCAAAAAAGAATATGATGGTTATGGATAAGCAGATATATGTAACTATTCTGTTTTTATGGCAACTATGTTTATTTTTCAAACATATTTTTTTAAAAAAAGAATTGTCATTTTTAATAATTGTGGCCTATCTTCAAAATTTGTTAGCCTTGTAAGCAAGAGGCAGAATTTTAGACAACTCCTTAAAAATGCTTATTACCTTTTCCACATTAAAGATATGAGGGGTTTGAGGGATGTAAAAGAATTTAACATGTGATTTGCAAAAGAACACCTTTTCCAAACAAAGAAACAATCTTGATCATCATTAAAACAAATACAAGTACATCATGATAATCAGCAGCAATTTTGTACTCACTTTTCAATTATGTATAGCGTTTTCAAGTATGTATACAGCAACTAATTGGAGACAATCTGGTTCTGATATTGTTTGACAAGTAAGGTGTAAATTATACAGTTCACAGAAAGTAGCAGATTACTATGCAAAGCAAACAATAATTTCCCAAGAATCGTAACAATTTTTAAATTGAAAATAGTATTTATTGACTATTTTGTATCTTTTATCATTAAAAACATTTAGTAATTGGTCAGGTTACAATAATAAACATTTATTTGACTTGTAGCAGGATAAAATTCTTGTAACACGCAACAAGAGCAAATAGCTCCATCTGGTTATACACAAGACATTGTATAGTATTTGCCTTCAACCTGTCAAATACTCTCAGAACAGCCATATTTCCTAACAAATTCCTAAAGAACTTTCTATTCTGGGTAAGTATGATGACAGCATTCAGTAAGAGCTACAGCCTTTTTTTGACTGCTGATAGCTAGCCAAATTCAGAAGCGGAGGATAGTGCCAAAAATTAGGTGAATCCCTTTTCATTACTTATCATTATTCTAAGTGACAGTAATGTTTTCTTTAAAGCCATAAATCTTCCCTTTGCAAGCCTATACAATCTTTCAGCTGAAGTGAAGAGAAAGCAAACTGCCACCTGCCAATTCTCTAGACCATCTGCCCTGTGCATCTGAATCCTGCATGTTTTCCACCAGAGATGTTGAGCCTTAACTACCTGAGTAAAGGTAAAAGCCTTTAAATTGCATTCTACACCTAACTACATCCAGGGACAGTACATTTTTGGCAACAAAAATGCAATTTGCTGTGCTTCCTCCCATGGTTGTTTTTAATTTTTTTTCCAGTATAGAATCCAGGAATTGCCTAGTGGATTCTCATTCAAAGCATAAGTAGATTCAACCCTGCTTATCTTCTAAGCTTTTCCAAGGTCAACCAGGTGCTGCCACCTGCCGAGAACCTTAGCTAACAGGGGTTCCCCTGTTGTCCTATCAATCCAGTATCAGACTGCTCCACCCAGGAGCCGCTTTTGTGCATTTTTCTCTTTCCTGTTCTCCACCGCTCCCGCTTGCCTTCTCACAGGAGCTGTTCAAGTTGAAATATCATCTCTGCCAAGCTTTACCCTGGTGGCTGGAGGAGGAGGAGGAGGAGGAGGAAATGTTTCTGCACAAAGTTTACAACTCCTGACCTTTGACCCAGCCACACTCCAACCTGTTAATGGCAACTATCTGAACCAGAGAGAAAAACCTAAAGGGGGGGGGGGGGGTTTGGTCCTCTCTGCTTCTAATTTCATCGAGGCTTTTATTTTTTCACTGCTCAGTCCTGTACAATCTTTCTCCTGAAACCCCAGTTATCTTCTGGGGTGATTTATTCCCTGATCAAAATCGTTTAGGATTTCAGCCTTTTAAAAAGGGTGTCTTTTTTTTTTTCAGAGAGAAAGAGAGAGAAAGAGAGAGTAAGTTTAAATACGTGGCCGATCCCACTCAAGCGAGAGAGAAAAAAAAAACGTGTACCTGCCCCCCTCTCCAAAAAAACCCCAGGTTGAGAGAAAAGGACAATCCTCCCGGATGAATTTAGTCAGATTTCTAGGCAAAACACAGCCCAGCGGCGTCTCATGCCCGCCGCGGCAACTGAGCCGCAGTCCTAGCCACACTTTGAGCTCAATTCCGACTGACATCCGCGGCGCTTCCTCCCCGAGCAAACCCCGATGCCTGCCCGCACGCGAGATGGCCAACACCGCGCGCTGCCTTACTCGCAGGAAGCGGGCAAGGCAGGCGCGCAAGGGACGAGGTGGCGGAGGGGGGGCGAGAGAGAGAGAAACCAGGCACGCCGAAGTCAAGAGCGAGCAGCTCCGAGGCGAGCGATCCGGGGAACCTGAGGCAAGCGCGAGCCTCGGCTCCCGCACCAGACCAGCCTGACAAGCCCCCCCGCTCCACGCCCCGCCAAGTCAGACCCAACGTCTCCTAGTCCCGAAGATTGCCCGCTTTTCCACCGCCGCCACCCAGCCCGGGAGATGACGGGGGGGGGGGGGGAGAGGAGAAACAAAGCGCTCGGCTCCCTCTTCTCACTCACCCCGAGCTTCCTGCTGCGGATTTTCACGTAGCCTTGCTTGACTATGTCGTTAAAGTTGGAGGCCATGGCCAGGACCAGCTTGCCCCGGAAAGGCCCCCCGCTCCGCGCCCGGGATCTTCTTCTTCTTCCTCCTCCTCCTCCTCCTCTTCGTCTTCTTCCTCCTCCAGCTGCCGCTGAGTGGCCTTGGCCGCCGGCTCCCGGGGAGCCTCTGGCATCCAGGCGGCAGCGGCGGCTGTGCGGGACCTCAGGCGCGCGCCGGGCACACACCGGCCCAGCGCAGCCCGCCCACTCCGCTTGCGGGGCGTCGCGCTCAGCGCTCAAGGAACCTTCCCGGACGCCCTAAACGAAACGAGCGGCTGCTTGGACCTCAGCGGCTCCAAACGTTACCAAGAGGGAGGAGGCACTCGCCGCGCCACCATTGCCTGAAGCGCAGAAGAAGAAGCTGTTTCCCCGGCTCTTCCCGCAGCTTCCCTCCTCCCCTCCGCAGCCAGCGTCGCTCCTCCGGCACCCAGAGGCTCTGGAGCTGCCCTCGCCGCAGCAGCTTCCTTCCAGCGCGAAGGAGAAAAAGGGAGGAGGGAGGAGGGCTTCCCGCACGTTTCCACCTTGTTTCGCCGTCTTCCCCATCAAGGCGCATCTCGCCCCGCGAGAAGGGTGGCTGGGAAAATGTCAGCCTTGCTCTTCATGCCCGAGCGCACCTTTCCCTTTTATTTATTCTTTCTCTCTCTCTCTCACACTCACTCCCTCTGTTACTCTCACCCACCACTCTCTCTCCCTCGCTTGCTCTCTCCCCCACTAGCTGACCAAGCTCGTGGGCCTAGCAAGTCATTTCTTCCCATCTCAAGTCTGGACTATGGCTCTGGGAACTGTCTTTTGGCCAGTTGACCAGACTTGGAAAACTGGGATGGTTTTACACATCAGTAGAAATGCAAACAGATAACAGAAAGGGTGGTCGTTATTTTCTTCTTCTTACAATGGTGTAAGAAGATGTCTGTATAAAACAGAAATCATTAAAAAAAGATGAAATGCCCTAGGAAGCAATGCCATCCTTTTTCAGGATGGTGTCCTTCAGAGAAGTTGAAGATCAGCACAGTTATGGGAGCAGAATTCCAACATACCTATATGGCCTCAAGCCACTACTTTACATTCAGAAGTTTTAGGTTTAGAATAGTTTATTTAAAGAAATTATTGTCAGAATTTTACCTTTAGACTCTTAGAGTTTACCGTGTAATATTGAGGAGTTTTACCTCTACAGTTATGCTAATAATAACTGTCGTACCCAATAAAATTCATGTGGTGTTTATTCAAAAGTAAATCCCATTCATTCAGTGGACTTAATTACATCCAAATAAGTATGCATAGATTGCATGCTTCGTTCTCGAAACTATAGGGAAGAAAGCCTGGGTCATTCTGCTATCAGGAAAATAGCTTTTATATAAGAATGTACAAAATAATAGCAACCTCTCTCCTAATTAAAAGATGAATGTTTGAGGAATCCTTTCTGCATAATTTTATATTCCATGGAAGAAACCCTGAATCTGGCTGAAAAAACCATATCTTTGATCACTAACTCACGAAGCAGTTATACAAAACAAGAATATAAAAACAGAATATATACAGAATATATTAAAAAAAGCAAATCAAAGTGCAGGTCACAAATTAAAATTAAGCCTACATTAGGTTCTGACAGGTTTTATTTACTTATTTCCAGAATGTATACAAAGCTCATAGCAAGTTCTTAGGGTGATTGAAAATTACCAAATAATTAGTAGGCAATCCTGAATGATGCTGGTTTTATATATTGGGGGGCAGCTCTTCTTTTTGTGCACTAGTATTAAAGAGAGATCTTGAAATTTAGATTAAATCCAAGAATCTTTCATCCAAATTATCAAAGCCTTCTCCATATGAATGTCAGGGGATGAGAATTCTGTCAAGGTCAGGAAAACTTTGCACTTTGAAAAAATGTACAATTAAGTAAAAAGTTCTCCAAGGACAAGAGATTGTCTTCTATCACAAAGCATTGATTAATAACATTGTGGGCTATCAGAAATAAGCTCTTACTAGCTTTTACTTATCTTGTCTCTTCCAGATGCACTGAACTACATCAAGTCTATGCAATACAATATAGTTTTTCTATATAAATACCACACACTGGTTATTAAAGGGGAGTCCAATGGAACATATAATGTTGAGGAGCAAGGAAATAAGTATATGTCTGCTGCCCTTGTGCCTCTACACGTATATGAAGATGAATACCCCTAATGGAAAAGATGATGATTCGATAGCATAATCTAAAGCATATGACTGATCAAAATCCAATGAATCAGTTATCTTAGAAGCCCAACATTATATTCATTGAATTGATCCATATCTCAATGAATTTGAGCTTCATTGAATTGAGTAGGTTTGCTCAGCAAGACTATCGGCACTGTTCACTATGGTAACAAAATGAAATTAAAGCCGTATTGGAAGCTTCATCAAAAATTCATACAGAATCTACAGATGTAGAAAAGCTGAGATGTTTCTTCCTTTGACAATTAAGTCCTAATTTTATTGTTTTGATTTGATGCATGCATGAGTGCATAATAGTTCCCTTCATGAAACATCTCCAAGCTCTCCATCAGTTAAACAAAACTGTCTTTAATTGCATTGCAACTTAAGGCAGCTTTAGAGATAATTATTTTTCCAACAATCCTAAGATAAAATATTTTGAAAAGGCTAAGAAAAATGTATAGAAGAAATAAGATGTTCCTTCTGCATTATCCATTTATTGGGCTTTAAAAAAACAGGTACAATCTATCTCAATATTTCATTCTGGGAATCTGCAGTGCTGCAATGTGACTTAGTCCCCAAAGAAAACCATCAAATGCATGGCACTCCGTCTTAAGCATTCTGGTGGAACCAATTTGCTTTGATGAGCTGCTTTGCTTTGGCTTTTGTGGGTGCATTGCCATTGTACAAAAGAACACTGAGGGGCCAAAGAAGCAAACAACTTGAAGTAGCATGTCTGTTCCAATCGCCCCCCCCCCAAAAAAAAATGCTGTGTCACTTCATTTTGCATTTGCATTCTGATAGGATCATTCAGAACAAGTACACACTTCAACAGGTAGTTAGGGCTGCAGAAAAAGCAATTGCAACCTGCCTGTCTTCTATGAGGACCTGTATGTTGCCTGAACCAGAAAGAGGGTTGAGAAAGTACTTACATACCCCTCATATCATGAATATGGTGTGTTGTGCAACAAGGTCACATAGATTAATAAGATTGGGACTGGGTTAGGGACTTCTGTCCTCACTGTGACTCGCATGGGAGGGGGTGGTGCACGAAGGGAGTCTCAGCCAATCTCATTGTACACATGTTTTACTCTGACAATAAAGGTAATAATAAACTTTTTCGACTTCTCTCCTCAAGACACCACTATAGAGCTTTGCATGCCAAAACAACTAGACCTAAATATAGTTTCTTCCCCCATGCCACCACTCTGCTAAATACCTAACTCCCACAGCACTGTCTTATGCCTAAAGATATTTACCCATGTATAGACTTTATTGCTATTGTCCTTGTCATCTTATCATCTTTCCCATCTTCTCACCTCCTCATCTTTTTTGTTACCTTTTACGAATTGGTATGTTTTGGTATATTGTGAGTTATCAATTGTTGTTTGTATCTTATGACTTATGATTGTACCTTATGATTTATGATCTGTAACTTATCACTTAGTTGTTGTTTGTATGTACACTGAGAGCTTATGCACTGGTGACAAATTCCTTTGTGTCCAATCACATTTGGCCAATAAAGAATTTTATTCTATTCTAAATTACCTTTGCTTTGGATCTCCTCCTTGTCAAAGCTTTGTCCTTGCTTACAGTGTATGTCTGTTTTAGCTATTTTGTTTTACTTAAAATATATAAAATTTTTCATCTTTTCCCTACAGATAAGCTTCAAGGTGGCCAACCATGATAATATGTACAATTACAGTTGAAACAATAAAGCAAATGGGTTAGAACATAGCCATAGAAAAATAGAACTCATCCACTGCATTAAAATATCATTTTTCCCTTTTTATTTAGGTCAAAATCAGTAAATAAACAGTGTTAGGGGCTTCAGCAGAAAGTCAGTGTAGATGCTACAAATCTGTTATTACTTAGGGAACACAGAGCTACCATGTCTTCTTTAGGTGCCAAGTTTTAGATCCATGTAGAATGCTTTTACTTATATGTTGCCACCAAATGTAATGAGCAGCAAGAAGATTTGTTCAGGAAGTAAGAAGATTTGTTCAGGAAGCTTTAAAATGGATCTAACTGATCTAGCTGGAGAAATCCAAATGATCATAGGATATAAAAGTGTCTTCTGCATCCCATTGCTGCTGTACACTAGCTATCTGGATTTTTGAAACCCAGACCTAGTAAAAACCAGGGAGAATGCAATCATTTAAGCAAATTAGTTCTACATATGAAATATTTTCTCCGGTACATTTATATGTTTATGAAAAATGAGGTGATATTAAAGATATTTTTAACTGGTAGGACTTCTGAAAACCCCAATTTGTTCTATTTAAAGGAAAGGAAAACATCTGGCATGCTCAGTTCCTTGTACCACAACCTTTCCAGAATCTCTAAAATCAAATTTCTGAAATTCAGTAGCAAAATGCTGGGGTGTGTGTCCCCATCTCTATTTCATGGGTACATTTTTGAAATCATAAAGAAGGTTTCTAGGTATCCCTACTTTAAATATTTTCTATACCAAGTTGATATGTTTCAAAGTTCGTGAGTGAAATTTCTTTTAGTGATTGTTTATATATTTATTTTTATTTCAGTCATTACTTTCTAATGCTTAAAGCAGATGATAGCTAATAAATGCAAAGTACAATTTAAAAAAAAATCAAAGATGCAAATGTAAATAAATGCAAACATTAAGTAACAAAAGGCTGGTGAAAGAGATGTGTTTTAATTGCATTTCTGAAATCAGAAAGAATAAAGGCCAAACACCACTTTTAAGGGAAAGCATTTCCTAATCTAAGAATTATTCAGAAAAAAAATCCCCCACCCCATTTTGGACAAACAAGTGCCCA